CCCGCGGGGCGCCTCCGGCCGCCTGGTGCCCGTGGTAGGCCGGCAGAGCGGGGACTCGGAGTGGCGGGCCACTGCCGTTGGCCCAGCTCCTAGCTTCAGGCCTGTGGGGCCGTGGCTTCCGCGCTTCTCAAGCACCCTGTCTGTGCTGTATGGAAATTTCCAGAGTGCACAAAAGGAGGGAGAGGCGTTTCATCCATCACCCCTGCTAAGCAGGCGTCAGCCTTTCACCTGTCTTGTTTCATCTATCCCCAGGTCAGCACCCCAACTTTTTTGAGCATTTCAAGCAAATTTCGAGGCACTTTTCATTCTGTGGAAGGAGCCTTCTGTCAGCCTGCAGTTTCCTTAAAGGTCAAAGGTCTTTGCCTCTTTCCTCATCACATTCCCAGCAGCGCCTGCGTTCAAGTGCTCAATAAATATTTGTTGGAACAGAGGCCTTTCATTCCACAGGGCGGGGCATGAGCCACTCTGGGCTCACGGAAGCAGAGGGGCTTTGGGCCTCGCTGGCCCCGAGTGTGTGTTGCCTGTGAGACTGTGTGACTCTGTGCCTAGAGACGGTGGTGGGCAGCAGGGTGCCACCGTGCCACTGTGGGTGAGGTGCGTGTGTGTATGTCTGATGTGGCTCCTGCTTGCCTGCTTGGGGGGCTCAGGGTCATCTTTTGAGGTAGTGAAGGTGGGTATACCCCAGAAAGTGGGGGGCTTCTGATGACAGTTATGACTGTAGTCTAGTCTGTCTTGCTAAAAGGAAGGCAGGCCAAGAAGGCCTTTCTGCAAACCTGTTGTTACTTTGTTTGTGCAAGCGTGGAGAGCTGAAAGCTGCAGCCCTGGGGTGGAGCCCACACCTGTGCTTTCTTGGGAGACGTGCGTCGCCTCTGGACTCTGTTTCTTGAGAAGGGAAGTGGGGCTTCCGGCAGGTGAGGATGGCCTGTGGGGACAGCTGGGGAGGCCAGGGCCTGGGCCTGTTTCCGGGCCCTCAGGAGGGCTGGGGTCTCCGCACCAGCTCGCTCCCTGGGTGCGGGGCCTTCCCAGAGGCCTGCTGCCTGCCCCTGAGCTACTGCACGTCTGCTTGCTGTGTTACTTGGGCTGACCCTTCCGCTGTTCTGCTGAGAGACTCCGGAGCAGTGCATGCGTGGACGCCCTCTGTGTGTGGTGGGCTCGCTCGCCGGCCCGCCCCTCCTGCTGTGGGGGTGATGGGGGAGCCTGGCTTCTCTCGGCGTGGCTCTGCCTTTTGCACGTACCCCAGTTGAGTCAGCACTTGGGTTACCCGCATCTCTTGCTGTGGTAGTTTGTAGCGAACAGCCTGACTTGAATCGCATCTTATGCTTCCCCAGGCTACCTCTGGGAGGGTCTGGAGTGGCCTTGCTGGGTTCCAGGTGCGTGGCCAGGCCCGGGTCCGCAGGCACCTGCTGCCCATGTGTGGGCCCCGTTTGTCCATTGCCAGTGGCCAGCCTAATGGTGAAATATTACTTTAGCTTAGCTTCAATTTGTTTTTCTCATTGTGACCCAGGTTGAGCATCTTTTTACTTTTTAGGGGTCCTTTAATTTTTTTGTGAAATGTCTGCTCAGATTTTTTACCCCTTTTCCCTCAATTTCCCCTTTTTTTCTCGGTTCTTAGAAGCTCTTAATAGATCTGGGGCATGGGCCCTTCACAGTGCTCTGTGAAGGCTGCCCTGGTGGGGCCAGGCTGAGGCTGTGGGCTTGTGGAGCACAGCTCTAGTGGTGGTGGCATTTGACCTGGGTCTGTGGCACCAGTTTTCCAGCTGCTGAGGGTGCCCAGGCAGAGGAAGAGTGGTGTGTGGGTATGAGGGGTCATGTGGCGTTGAAGTAGAGGGCCCTGGTAGGAGTGGCCCAGGCTGTGTGGAGGACACCATGG